GTCCACCAGAAGGCATGACAATGATTGAAGCAGCCCAAGAACCTGACAAGTGTCCCTCCAACTTCTTGAACTAGACTCCTCAAGCGTGACTCTCGATGACTTCGCAAAATCACTGGAGTTCAGACCAGACAAGGGACACGCTCTTTTGAACCGATGTGATAAATTCAATTGAGCTGGTTTCAAATAACCGCGACGTCCAAAAGCGTCAGCTTATTCGGCAGGTCACGTAACTTCCTGCACGCTTGCGCTTGTTACGAATGCGATCATGCTTGATCAGGCCGGGTTATCGAAGTGCGATTATCAGCAGTGTGAGGGTTTACCAAACCAAAAGTAACGGGGACGGAGTTAGTTGGGCAGCCTTAACTGTGGCGAGGGAGCGTACAAGCGGTTTAGCAAACGGCGATAGAAGTCATTCTAGAAAGCTGAGTGCTAACCGCGGAAGTTGTTAGTCCTAGCAGGAATGTATGCGTGGGCCTGAGCCTTGTTCGCTAAACAGCGAAAGAGTATAACGTTGACTGCCGTCAAGCTGTCACCACTCTGAGGACATGTAATGCACGGCGCTGGCATTAGATGGACCGGGGGTGTCAGGAGCACCGAAGGCGACATGAGTAAGCGATTACGCCGGCAATCACGTGAGCAGACTGCCAGCCTTAATGATATCATGGGCAGTAGCTCACAATATGCGAAAGGCAGTGGCAGTGGACATAGAGAACTTGATCGACTCCCTTCCCCGGGGACAAAGGTCGAGAGCCAAATATTATTCCACGTGTTTTGGTGGACTGGTTCAAGCCTGGGTTTGGGCCGACCCATTCGTCGCCTCCAGTAACGTAGCGGCATCAGAATTAAGGCAGCAACATTACCCCCATTGGGTGTGCCCTAAAGAAAGTGCCATAACCTCCTTAGTTGTTTTTTTTTCGGACGGTTTGGGATATCTTCATGATATTGTCGTATTCGAGATAAGCCTGGGGAATCTCTTTTGAGTGATCGTTATCAAATCAAAGCTGCCACTCTTGTCCTCCTCCGATGTGCAGAATGCCCCGGGTTAATAGCAAAATTAATCACGGTCACGGTATCCTCAAAAACTGGCGCACAGAATGGTTTGGGACTACGATGTCACGCTTGCTCTTCCAGCTTGTCAACAATTTGCCCAAAGATAGTTAAATGCAAAGGAAGAAGCCTCCATAATTACGTGTTTATTGAATATTTGGTGCTTCGAAAAACTGTTTCGGTTGATCACATTCAGAGACTAGTGATCCCGGTTGGTGTGGCTTACACATCGAAATACCTCCCTTTGGGTCGCGCCTTTGTTCGTTATCTACACGTTTTGCTCGATGCGCATAAATCATCCACTGTGGTTCTGGAGGCCACGCAAACGGTTGGCAGAGACACTCGAGGACTGGCTGCCCCAGAAAGACGAGGATACGCGAGCACAAAACGGCGGTGCCGGGGTCGAACTTGAAGTCAAGGGTAACATCCCATCATACACAAACTCCAAAATAGGCAAACAGTAATGGAGTTGGAAATGTGGGTTGGAATGATGATCACTCGGTTCAGCCGATTCAAGAGGCATGGCGATCGAATGACCGCGCGAACACTTTTCTACTCAACCAGCTGCTTACATGGCATAGAAAATAAAAAAAAGAGAAGACATCGAGTGATCAAGTAGAGTTTGCATGACTAGAGCGAACGTCAATGACGAGTATGCAGTCAGCACCTGTGTTCTGCTAGACGAGCAAGGTGACGAATCCAAAATAGAGGTGTCTAAAAAGGGCGCACCGCTTAGTCAAATATTAGCTTACAATGGAGAGCATGAACATGCACCTGTGAAAGACGCCCACACTCCTCCAAAATCTAAAAGGCTAATGTGGAAATTTACCTTCGACTATTCTACTCGCTGAATACCTTTGCAGGCTTAACTGCAGAATACTTTCTCACGAGTGTCTGTCCCAGTGATCGTGCCTTCGTCTTCTTTTAAAGAATACTTTCTATTTTGAGCATGAGAGAGAATTGCTGTCAAGACTGCTTTATTGTTGGCGTCCACTGTGCGTTTATGTTCACAGGAGTATGCATGACGAAGGAGTAATTCCAAAGATATGCACCGCTATCGCCCTGAACTAGCGTGGGGGAGGGGAGGGGGGGAACATTGGCAAGTGGCATGCGCATGCTGAGCTAGACGAGTCATAAGCTACTGCCATACATGCGTTAGGCACCCGTCACCAGCTGTCTGACGGGCTTAGACAGCCGACTGAGACATGGCAGAGGAATGAGAGGGAGGTGGATAGGTGAGAACCTATCCCCACGGCGCTTCATCGCACTCCTCACTTGAGTAAATCTGGAGCATTTGATTGTATCACGATGCACTAAAAAGCGTTGATAGGAAGGTTTCCAATTAACTGAAGAACCTGGTCGTCGCGGTCAGTACTGTGTGACTGTGTATAAATGGAGTGACTGGCCCGAGGACTGAGAATCAGGCCCAATAACTGTTTCTTGTTGTGGCCTCTGTGGCCCCCTCCCCCCCCCCCCCCCCCCCCCCCCACGAACGTGAGATCCGAGCCTACTTTTTTTCGGGAAAGCCTGGTACAATATGCGGGGACCGGGCCGTTTAGTTTCGCCGACCACTGCACCGGGGTCCACCTACGGTCGTCATGACTCTGTCTTGCCACTGGACCCAGGTGGGGGAGGGAGGGAAGAGTGTGGCAGATGTTGCACAAGTTCGCTATCAGTATGATCAACCCTGCATGCAAATCATCGTCCTGCGTCCACCTTTTCGTGGAGCACACGGCAGACATCATCATTCGCGACGGTCGAAAACAAAGGAAGCCTAGTCAATATCAGCCAGAGCCTTATATCATCATCAGTCGACTTAACTCGGACAAGACGCCAACATATGCCAGGCAAGAGATACTGGGGCCGACACGGCTACTCTAGTCATCGTAGCTAGAATGGTGTTACGCTCCCCACTGTAATAAATTCTCATGCTTTTAGACCACAACGCGCTGGGTGTGTTGGCTTTAAAGGTTGCCAATTGGCAGGATAAATCGGCCGTACTTAGGATTGAGGGGTAGGCTGCAACGGTTATTTTTAAACATTTTATTTTAAACGGTTATTTTTGTGGTACCCTCAGTTGCATGAGAACCGAGAGCCTCTCTCCGAAGCCGGGTTCGTGGGAAGTCGTGTGTGGAACGCCGAGGGCGAATACGTCCACATCCACTGCCAGTCTTGACTTTGCCGAAACGCTGGAGGGTTTGACGCAAACGCCTGCTCCTCTATCACGAAATTCACGCAAAAGACACCACTACACCCAACTAGTGAGACAGTAATGGGCAATTAAGAGGGGGGAGGTGTGGTGGGTTTACGTCCGGGCTGCAGGCGTTGGTTCGCCAGTCTCAGCGCGATGGGTTCTCAGGTGACCGGCCAAATCGTTGCATGATGTGAAGGTGCGATCGCAATGAGTACCAGTTGGGATCGAGTCCCTATTTCTGATGGTGGGGGAGGCGGTGGCGGTCTTCGTGGACGTCGTGGCGTTTGCAGCAGGTGTGACGATGGAGATGTTTGCGGTGGGTGGTGGAGCTGTTGTGTTGATATTGAACTGACGATGAGGATGCTCAACGAGGTCGATCTGTGCGCGGAATCTCAGTTGACAATGAGGAGATAATGGGTGTTGACGTTGGGAACCGGAGGCGCTTTAAGCTGGCGAGCCGCACTTTTGCTTTTGACAGCGGCAATCCGGTTGGCTGCTCCAGTCTTCATTATCATTCTCCAGGCCGTTTGACCCTGGATAAGGTCGAGGTGAACTTGTAGATTTCCGAGAGAAATTTCCAGACTGTCCTATTAAATCATTTCTGTCCTCCTTGCTGACGAGCACCCGTTGCGACATCGCCGCAGAATACCCGCTTGGGTAGACACTCTTTGTCCATCCTCCAAACATGGCCGCTCCATCGTAGTTGGATTTGCTCCAGTATGACATGGATACTGAGGATTCGGTTCATTCCAGGACCACCGTATTTGGTACTCTCTTTTACGACATTAACTTCAGTATTTGCCGAGGGTAGCAGAGGCTGAAGTGATTGAGTTGCCTGACTTTTTGGCGTAGAGTGCTCATATCTCCGTCCCGTAGAGCAACGTCGTCAGGATTGCCACCGTGCACATCTTAAGTTTCGGGTTGATTTGAGATTATCGACGGTTCCAGGCCGAGGGCTGTAACCGATGGAAGGTCTGACTGGCTTTGGAGATCCGATGGGTCACTTCATCATCGATCTTGATATTCCTTTAAATAATACTTCCGAGTAATGCGAATCTGTCCAGTAGTGCAAGTTGTTCTCCACTGAAGTTAGTCTGGAGTTAATTGTACTCTGCGCTTCACGTCGGTCGGTACATGACCACCATCTTCCCCCCGTTGACGGTCACTCCGAACCTAGAGCAACCGGAAACAGAGAGGTCCACACTCCGCTGCATGTCCTCTCCCGTTGTGATGTTTAACGCGCAGGCATTCGCGAGCAATAGATCCTGGACGCCGGCCTTGAATATCCTCGAAGATGCTTTCAGACGACGACAGCTGAACAGTACCCTGCCGATTCGGTAGTTTATGCTAGTCACTGGCTGCTTCTCAAGGCAGGCGTCCATCAGCACAGCGGAGGACGCGAGACTGAAACTGATGGGAGCGAGTACGCAGCTCTGCTTCTCCCTATTGGTCACCACGAGCGCACCAGACATTGTCTCGCTGTCCGTGACACGAGCCATAATCTCATTTTGAATTTAGCGCACCATTTGTGTGAAGTGCCCTAGGCATCCCGATTTCGGAATTATTTTTCAGGGCCCATCGCGGTTGACTGTGTCGTAGGCCTTTTTTAAATCGACAGACTCGGTGCAGGGGTTGGTCCTCAGCTCTTGGTACCTCTCCTGGAGTTGACGGGCTGCGAAGATCATATCGAGGGTTCCGCGACACCTGCGAGATCCATACTGGCATTTTGGGTCAGGCCCCTGCTCCAGGTGGGTGTTCAGGCGACTGAAGAGGACGCGAGTGGTTATTTTCCCTGCGATGATGAGCAGCGAGGTGCCTCTGTGATTGTCACAGAGTTTACGGTCTTCTTTACACTTACATATATGGACACCAGTCGCGTCTTTAAAGTCTTTTGTGACTTGTCCTTGTCGTCACATTTTCTGGATGAGTGAAGTCAGCTTGTCCATCGGCGGAGGGCAGATTGCGGCAGTGTCTGGTATACGGGCGAGTAGGCAATTATTGCACCAAGTATGACCACCGACGGTGGAAGCGGGAGTTGATAAGTACGGCAGGTACGTGGTCGCGGTACAACTGCGTCCTATAAGTGTATACTACGTCACTAATGCGTTCATTACCATTACCTGCAGCTGTCTCTGATGGCATTTTCGGGTGAGAATATGAGAACTCGTGCAAACGAGATTTCCGTTTCAGAAGTCGCATCTTCTCAACAGTTTCGTGGAACTCGCCATTTCGTTTGTATCGGCAAATCCACCTTCGTCGTCTTTCTTGGGTGGTCCGAAATATCCTCACAATACCTTCACAGCGCGTACGAACTGACTTACTTAAGAAGTCAGCATACCTCAACCTGGCAACGGCGGACAAAGAGCTTCAGTTTACGCTCGTCTTCCATGCACACAACCCAGCATTCATGATCGTACACGAGAGCAGACCAGACGGATACTTGTTGTGACCGGAGTATAGATTCGAGTCCATGGGCGCGGAATAAATCTTGTCAACAAGATTCAAACAACAACGAATCGGACAACAATGTTGACCGACAAGAGTTAGCTGAAACGCTCAATTCCCTCTAGGCCAACAGTCATCGACCTAGAGGGAGCTAGTTCGACACCGATAATCCAGTCTGTGGCATGCCCGAACAGGATGGGCGGCAAAATACAGCCTTTCGAACGTCAGACCGAATATCAAACTGCCAGAAGGGCTGGCTGTACTTGCGCAGCAGCAGGCCCACCGTCAAAGTCCATTATCACCCTAAGGACTCGCATTTAACAATGTCGAGGGCTGCAGTGAAGCCAACAAGGCAGGTAGCTGTCGGTCTCTGGTAGTCAGTTTGGATATCTGGTTAGTGCACCCACGCCCAGTTTAGAATTAGGCGTGGTTGAACCTCGTCCTACGGTCACGCCTGATAATGACAATGGTAAAAATAGTTGCAGCTACCTGGATGAGACTTATGCGCGATAGTCTGCTTACCCTGTCCTACCTCCCCCACTGAGGACAGGCACAGAGACGGCCAAGCGCCAGTTATCAGGAGCATGCTCATTTCTGCGATGAATTTTTCCAACTCGCCACAACAACTAACCTCCGGGGACATCCCTTCAAGTTACGTGAGCCCCAGCGTAGATTGAATGTGAGAAAATATTTCTTCTCCAACCGTGTCGTGGAACCGTGGAATAATCTGCCCGAGACTGTTGTCGTGTCTCAATCTGTGGCGACATTTAAATGTAGACTTGACAGACATATGCTACAGCACCAAGCGGACTATGTGACTTTTTGGCCATGAGACCAGTGTCATGTGTGAATCAATGCCTGCATACACTTACTGCTGTAATTTCTTCACATTCTGCTAATTTATCGGTTTTTTATGTACAAATAGGGAGTTCAAAGGCGTAAGCCTATTTCCCTCAAATACACTGACTGACTGCATGCTCGCGTAATCGCCACATCGAGCCAGGGCATCACCGTCCGCACGAGATTTTAAGGCTTCGAAGGGAATACCTTCGGCTCTGAACGACGTTCTGCTGCGAGCCTCAATACTACATGGAGGATTTATGTCCGCATAAGCTCCGGATGGATAAAACTCTGCAGCCGAGAAGAATGAGAATAATAATCGTCTATCAGAGTTGAGGAGGCGCTGGAAGTGTCCGCGCCACCTTTCCATCTTAATTTGACTGTCCACGGTAAGTGCCATTGATCAAGGCATAATTTTATGTAATTTTCCCATAAAACGACCGAGTTTATGCGGGCTTCGAAAATCTACGAAACGAGTACTGACTGCAGAGACGGCAATTTTTGGTCGGATGTGGTTTGGTAGCCCCACCTGAAGTAAACAAACCTCAGTCACCTCTACGGGACCAGTGGTAATAGGGAGTTTTTACGGGTAAACCTGGGGAACGCACAGGCGACGAGGTCAAGTAGTTGTATGCAAAAAAGCCACTGGAGTGCGTGGTTGTACTTTAGCTATAACCCCTGGTCCTAAACCCCAACCACGACATTATTGTGTCCATAAGGTGGGGCACGCAAATCACATCTTACCCAATTTTTTCCACGTCTAATTCAAGCAAGTGGCTACGACAATGTTCAATGAAATACATCCTGCCACGTGGGCTATGACTTGGGACTGTGTTCCGTGCTAGTAATTTTCGAAACACCAAATACGTAGTCTTCTCCCTCTAAGTGGTTGTCGAAGATTTTTGATTACTCTTGCAGGAGTTTTGGAGTAGAATGTGGACTGCCAGTCTACATAAACTCCTAACTTTTTCTTCTATGTATACCGCTTAATGATGCAAACAGTGAACGGGATCGCCAGATCAGGATGTTTGTCCTCCAGGGCTGGAGGATTCAGGAGTGAATTTGTTTTTATTTGAACA